ACACCCCCCCACACACCACCACCACCACATGGTAAAATGATGTGTCACCATTCATTTTAGCAGTTATATCCAGGTCTTGAGATAGAAACTAAGTCAGCCCCTCACAGCCCCTAAAGCCTAACATGTTGGTTTACATTCCTGATGAAGTGCCAGAGGAGGGGGGGACTCAACTCCTGACTTAGACCCTCCATTAAATACCTGTCAATAATCTTCTGGCCCCACATGACTCACTCTTCTGTCCCCAAATTAAAACTAAAGGCAGTAACAGGTGTCATCATGTCTGAGTAATGAAACCAAAGACGGCTATATTTTTCACAGCAATCACCTTCTCTTCTGTCAATATGACAGAACATAAAATGAGAGAAAGGGAATAATATATCCCAACGGCTAAATTTTAGAATTGATTATTTATAAAATTTAGTTTTTAGAACTAGTGGTGGGATTAAGTGACTTGATAAAATGGCCCAAATTCAAAGATGAACGCGGAAGGCATAAGTGCAGCTTTCAGTATTGGAGTGGGGGGGACTATGGAGGATTACCCCTGGATTCTCCCGACTTGCAAGAAAATTGGACCTGGAAAGATCTTAATGGTGAAAGACACCAACATTCTGAGAGCAAACCTACAGGCTGAATTCACAACCTTCCCTTATCCAATATATTTTATGGGTTATCCAATTTATATTTTATGGGTTATTTGAAGTTCCCCGGAGTTCCCTGAAATCATCCAAAGGCCGTCTGACATTTCTGACCCTTGATCCCTACTTCACAGACCATACTATTGTGACTATTGCCTGCATTTCCTAGTTAAAATGACCGCCAGATTCTATTGTCATTTAAATGTTTTATAAGTGACAAAAACTATACCTGAACCATGAAAAGGAAAAATCTAACTCTTTTCCAAGTCCTTTATGTTTGAAAGATTCCTAGATCTTTTGTATTAAAGGTTCTTGTAATCACTGAAGTAAAACAAGACTGGAATAATTTAAGTTAAAAAAAAATCTCTTTGACATGGAATAGCCTCTTTTTGAGTTATATTCAAGACCCTCTTTTAAAACTTCCAGTAGTAGTCAGAGCATTTAATGAAGTCTTCTATGGAATATTTGAAATATTAGGCATCAACTTGGAAAACACTCAGTGTGTTATGCAGAATCTGCTCTGGTCGCTGGGCCATTGGTGAGAAGGCACAAAATATGGCAGTGATAGATTATCTTAACCTTTTCAGTTTAAACACTGTTGGTTCAAATCAAAGGTTCTCAAATCAATGAAGTTTGAAATACAAGGTAAAAATAGGAACTGTTATTTGAATTATGCATTGTGTATATTTTAAGTTAAATGCCATTGGCAAATCTCTCAGATGTTTAATAGTGTGCAATCTGGGAAACACAAATATTTAATTTCACACTTTCATGTGTTCTTTTTTTCCTCCTATCTTCTGTAAAGCTGAGCCCCACAAATAGGGAGCTTACCTTTTACACTACATTGTTAGTTTTTCTCAGCACATTTTTGTGAATTATATTTTCAATAAATCTTGGAACATCGCAAGTTGTCCTTAAGGGAAAAGTTTAGGGTTCTAAGGCTGTTGGTGGTGGTAAATTGTTTCCCTTTCTTTCCTAATTGAATCAAAGAACGTTCATTATTTCAATGTCACAACCATAATTTTCTTTTAAAAATCTATAAATATTTGGGAGAAATGCAAACAAGTAATACTCTAAAACTTCCTTCTCACCGTCTATGCTAACTTTGTAAAATTTGCTTCCTAACTCGAAACTCTGAATCTTATGCATTTGCATTATAATGCGTTTAAGATGAATACTTAACTGTGCCGAGAAGACTCGGATTTCATGCTGTATTTCTCTGTAGTAACAGGTGACATGATAACACTATTATGTAGAATTGCAAGTCTACAGCTACACGTGAAAATCGTTCCTATTCTGTTTGGAAACAAATGATCAATCAGCCTCCGGTGATCAATTGCCGCCCTGGCTGCCCGTCAGCACGGGTCCGCAACCGGCGGAGGCATTGAGAGAATTCTGCTGAAGGGGACGGGGATCCCAAACTTTCCAAAAGCACCTTGTGCAGTGTCTCAGACTTCGCCGCAACTCCTTGGCTACGTGAGGCTGAGGCTCTGGATTTGGGGCCAGGCAGAGGGCAAAGGATAATTTCACTTTGCTAGTACACTGGAGTTCCTTTCAAACCGAATTGTGAATTATTATTTTTTCTTTCTTTCTTTCTCGTCTGTATAACGAGGGGCAAGCAAAGTGAGCCCTGGCGATGTGCATGTGTGTTGTAACGCATAAAACAGGAGGCAAAGTGAGTCCCACCCCAGCACCCCGGGGCGGGGACACTATCCCGGCCCAGGCGGGACTACTCACCGCTGCTGGTAGGAGGTGATGCCCTGGACGTTCTGCGGGGTGCCGTTGGCCGCGGTGCCGGCCCTCCCCATGCCCGCCCGGCCGGCA